TCTTCGTCTTCATCTTTATCTTCATCTTCATCATCATCAGCATTATCATTATTCTTGTCATGATCGTCGTCATCAGTATCATCATCCCCTTCAGCATCATCACCATCATCGTCATCGTCGTGATCATCGTCATCATCAGCATCACCATCAGCATACTCACAATCATCATCAGCCACATCAGCATCATCAGCATCTTTTACATCATCATGATCATCATTAGCATCACAACAACAAACATCCCCAGGGCAATGGCCATCGCCATCGTACTCGACATCAGCACCATCGTCTTCATCACCATCAACGACAACAACATTATCGTCATCAGCATCACCATCATCAGTATCATCAGCATCCACCATCATTCACAGCGGGATCATCATCATCATCATTATCATCATCCTCATCCTTATCATTATCATCCTCAACATCATCATCGGCATCAGCGAAATCAGCATCATCACCGGCATCATCACCATAATCAATTCCGTCACCACCACCACCACCACAAGCACCATCATCATCACCATCATCACCACCAACATCAGCATCATAATCAGACGCACCAGCATCGGTGTCATCTTCATCAGCAACATCATCATCATCATCACCATCATCATCACAATCAGCAACATCGTCATCGTCATGACCAGCATCGTTCTCATCATCATCATCATCATCATCATCATCAGCAGCAGCATCAGTATCAGCATCGGCAGCATCATCAGCGTCTGCAGCATCATCATCAGAATCAGCATCATCAGCATCGTCAAATTAAGATCAGCATTATCAGCATTGTCATCATCGTCTTCATCATGAGCATCATCATTATCGTCATCATCATCAGCATCATCAGCATCTTCATCACGATCATCCTAAAAATCGCCCACATCATCATCCGCACCATCATCGTGATTTTCATCACCATCAGCAGCAGCATCATTACAACTATCAACATCATCACCGTCATCGTCAGCATCATCGGCATCAACATCATCAGCAGCATCATTACCAGCATCATTACCAGCATCAGCATCATCGCCATCACCATCACCACCACCATCATCAGAATCGTCAGCATCGTCAGCATCATCATCAGCAGCAGCATCACCAGCATCATCATGGTCACCGTGGTCATTGTCATGGCCATCCATATCATCATCACCACCACCACTGTCGCCACCAGAATCTTCAGCATCGAGTTCGTCATCACCATCACCGTGATCAGCATCGCAAACGTCATCTCCGCGATCACCATCACAGTCGTCGTCATCATCGCCATGGCCGTCACAATCGGCATCATCGTCGGCGCCCTGTCTCCCTCTCACTCCAACGCCCCGGGCAGTCAGGCACTGGGCGGAGGGAAGGGCGACGGGGAAGAGACGCGGCGGCGAGGGCGAGCGCGGGGAGCGACGGAGAGGACACGAGAGGGAGGACGACGGGGCGATGGCGAGGGCGACAAAGAGGGCGGCGAGGAGGCCGGCAGGGAACTCCTGGGAAGTCCATCGCGGGAACGACTGGGGGCCAAGGAGCCTGATTGGGGGGGGGGGGGCTACTGAACCGACCGCATCTGGATGTGGCCCAGGATCGAGCAGGACAAACAGAATTCGCCAGGCGTCAGCGGGGCACGGCATTCAACCACCAAGGCCGACGCCGAATTCAACCTTCTAGAAGAGGAGAGAGCAAGGGAGCAGGAAGGGCGGCTGAAGAACAGGAGAGAGTGTAAAGGGAGGAGATGGGAGGATGGACATATCTAATAATCTAGCTATCCCACCCATCCCTTTCCACTAGAGGAAGGGAAGGAGGAGGAGGAGGAGGGGGGAGGGGTAACAGGATGAGCACATGGACGAGGATGAGGAGGGACGAGGAGAAAACTCAACAGCAGCAGGAGCAGGAACAGGAGTAGCCGAAAGGCCAGCAAAGCCAGGCGACTGGAAAAGGGGTGGTCGACAACTGCAAAAAAAAACAAATCTGATCCAGAAGTGTGGCCCACCCTGCGGCGAGACCGCCAATCAGAACAACGGAAGCAAAGCATCGATCCTCAATGTGCCCCACGCTGCAAAAGGAGCACCCGTGTTGAAGGACCAAACGAATCACATCGGAAAAAACATGGGTGATACGAAATCGTGGAATCCTGTAGCCAGGGAAAACCGAATTCGAAATGAGCGGTGACAAACCCCAACAGAAACTGGCGGAGAGTAGCGTGATACCACATGGAGTAGATTTTTCCTGCACACAAAACCACTGTTGCCACAACAACATCGTGAACCAAAAGGTCACTAGGCAAACTAGGAACACCGCACAAGCCGACCTGCAAAAAGCGAACTCATATCATCAACCGTGGCCAGAACACCTATTCGACGACGCAGCAGCGTTCCGAGAAAATGTAACAGTCTCAATAGGCACACGCTGCGTGCCAACCCCCGTGGCCCATGCGGCCGCCGCCAATTTCCAGCGCAGCATGAAGCGGTAGCGAAACTTTAGGGAGCGGTGTGACACGAGA